GTCCAAAGGGCTCCAAGCCACTGCCTTCCTGCGCAGGCCTTACTGACGGAGTCCCCAGCCAGGGAGCGTGGCCAGCTCTGAGGTCCAGGGGAGCCCTCCCCAGTTCACCCCCAGCTCATTAATGAGGTACCTTAATGCGCTCAGTGTGAAGCCTGAGACTCCCTCCTGCCTGCTGGCTGCCCCTCCCTGGAGGTGTGGGGAGTGGGGCGGGGGGTGTTTAAAGGCACAGCAAGGAGACTGGAAAAACAAGGAGTGGGAAGCAGAGGGGGTGGGCGAAATGGTGTGTGGGGGCCAGCAGCCAGCTGCTGTAGGGGAAGGGGCGGAGCTGAGCTTCCTTGGCTCAGCAGTTAACACAAGTAGCCATTCTCCAAAACAAGTCCACAATGTGACTCTCGCCCCCTTTTGGCCACCAGCATCCATTCACACCTGAGCTCCCCAGCAGGTCTGATGCCCTCATGCTTACTCCTGCCCCAAATCTGTTCTCCCTCCAGCAGCCAGAGGGTGCCTATGAGCATCTGAGTCAAGCCCAGTCCCTTTGCCCCTGGTGCACGCTGGTTCTGTAACTCACCAGGCGGGGGTCCTGCCTCAGGACCTTTGCACAGGCTGTTTGCTTTGCCTGGACCATTTTATGCCCAGCCAATCCACACATCTCCCTCTCTGGCCACTTCTAAATGGTAGCCTTCCTTCATGACTCTAAATGGTAACCCACTCCCATCCTGGTCCCATCAGCCCCTTGTTGTGAAGTGCTGCCTTGGTGGTCCTACAGCACCACACCAGGACTCCATCAGCCCCAGCCCCGTTGGGAACACTCTATTCCATTTTCACTCTCCCTCAGTTCTCCCCTCAAGACTAGGCTCCTTGCCCAAGGGCAGGCTTTGGTCTGAGTTCTTCTCTGCCTTTTCTTAGGGGCCTCAAACAACACTCAGCACGTGGGAGGAGGCAGGCCTCTGTTGAATGAGTAACTGTGTGTTCTGGTGGCTTCCTGGCCCCCCTCACCCTGGCTCAGCCTCTCCCTGTTCTCCGAGCTGCCTGCCCTGGCAGACTCGGTCCTGGCCTCTTGCCAGTCACATCTGGCATAAGCAGCAAATCCTGCCAGCAGCAGCCAGGAGAAAGGACCAGGTGGTAAGAGCAGGGACGAGCTTCAGCTTGGGCAGGGTGCCCCATGCTGGGAGGACCTGGCCCGCTTCCCACGAGGTCCTAGCCCTGGGTGACTCTCAGCTACATGGCAGTGGGCAGCCATTTTGCACAGAACCCCCCCCCCCCCCCGCAGGCTCTCACAAGGGGTTGAGGGAGGATGGGATGTACTTCCATAGTGTGGGGGGAATCCTCTGATATTCTGAAGTGAGGCATTCCAAGTCAGAGCTGGTTCACTTCTTACAGAGGTAAAAGTTGGAATTCTCTCCTCAGCCCATAGGGCCCTGCACACCCCATCCCATCCCATCCCATCCCATCCATTCCTCCTCACTCACTGCTCCAGCCTCCCTCTTCCTCCAGTCTGCCCCAGGGCCTTTGAACAGGCTGTTCCCTCTGTCTGAAATGTCCCTCCTTAGCTTCCATGTCTCACCCTGAACAGCACATCTTCAGACAAGTCCTTCCCAGCTACAAAAAACCTTTCATGTACAAGGGAGCTTCAGAAAGTTATTAGGAAAATGCCATTTTCATTTAATTCCATGATTCCACAAGCTTTTGGAAGCCCCTGGTGTTTTTTTTCCACCCTATCACCTTATATTTTCTTTATAGTATTTACATGTTAGGCATCGTGTTTCTCTATTTATCCATCTCTCTTCTACCCTTGGAGTCTGGGTGTGGTGCTATAGGGATAAGCACTGGACTGCTAAATGCAAAGTTGGTGGTTCAAACTCACCAGTCGCTCCTCAGATTCAAAACCAACTCGATGACACTTAACACCAACAACTCCTATGCTTGTAGCTGTCCTATCCAAGGAGGTAGTCACTAGTGAAGACTTCTTGTTAAGTGCCATCAAGTCATTTCCAACTCATAGGGTTTCTAAGGAGCGTCTGGTAGGTTTGAACCACCAGCTTTGCAAAAGTTTTTTGAGTCCAATTCCAACTCATGGGACCCCCTAGGTCAGCAACACCACCTCCCATCTCCTGCCCCTAGCCTCCCTCCTTGGTATGCCCTCAACTGAAGTGGGAGTCTCATTGTTGTTATGTGCCGTGGGGTCAGTTCGGACTCATAGCAACCCTGTACAGAGGCTGTAAATCTTTACGGGAACAGAAAGCCTCATCTTTCTCCCACAGAACAGCTGGTAGTTTCGAACTGCTGACCCTGAGGTTAGCAGCTCGATTCATAACCACTACTCTACCAGAGCTCATTGAAGTGGGAGTCTGAAGGGGAGAAAAGATGGGCTGGAAGCCTTAGTCTCAGGTCCCCAGTGGCCCCCGGAGTGAGGTCCCAGGGCAGGACCTTCATGCTGGTGAAACAAGTGAGGCAGCAGCCAGGAGCCAGACTGAAGCCAGAAAGCTCTGGGATCAAAACAAGATTTTAAGGCTGTGTTTTGAAACATTGAAATCAAGGTTAAAAAAAATGAGTACCAAAACACACAATATGAAACCACAAAATGTCAGAGAATAACAATGAATCTGCAAAACACCTCACGATATGGTTGAAACCTGGAGGACATTATGCTGAGTGAAATGATTGTTAAGTGCTATCGTGTGGGTTCTGAGGAGCAGCTGGTGAGCTCGCATTGCCCACCTTGTGGTTCAAACCTACATTGCAGTCCAGCGCATTAACTCACAGCGCCACACCAGGCACAAAAGGACAAATACTGTATGAGACCAATGTTGTAAAAAGTTAAGGAAAGGTTTTCTTGATTAAAGAAACCATCTATGATGGTTACGCGATGGGAGGGAAAATTATTCACAGGCTAGGGAGTAGACACATGTTAACGTGGCTGACAGGGCAGGCAATATACAAGACGGAAGTTGGCAGAGGAAGGATGAAGGTAGCGGGCGGGAGACGCAGGGAGGAGTGCAATAGCTAAAGTGAATAGAGGTAAATGTTAACTGTTGATACATGGAGGGGGTTGCAATCATGTAACAAAGCCAAGTATAGGATTTGTTGAATGTAAAACTGATGATCTGCTCTAGAAACCTTCACTCAATTTACAACGAAGAGTTCAAAACAACCAAAAAAAAACCACGGGTGGTATCACTGTTTTCCTTTGGCTTCAGGCTCAGGGGTCTTTGGACCATCTCTAAGGGGGAGGACCAAGTATGAGTCCTTGTGGTATCCAGGGCTCTAGTTTAACCAGCGGTGCCTCAGAAGAAAAGTCTGGAAATCTATTTCTGAAAAAAAAAAAACAAAAAAAAAAACAAGCCACTGAAAACCTTATAGAACAAACTTCTACTTGGACACACACCACACAGGGATGCCACGGGTCAAAGTCAATTGGACAATGCATTTTGTTTTTCCCCCTCAGTTGGGTGCCACTGAGTCAATTCTAACTCACAGAGACCCCCACATGACAGAATAGAACAGCCCCCACAGAATTCTCATTATAGAAGTCAACTGTCACATTTTTCTCCCACAAATCAGGTGGTGTGTTTGAACTTCTAACCTTTAACTAGCAGCCGATAGATGGCTCCACTACTGAGCCACCAGAATGCTCGGTGGAAGAAAGATGTGGCTGTCTGTTTCCATAAAGGTCACAGCCTTGGAAACCCTAGGGGGCTGTTCTGTTCTGTCCTACAGGGTCACTAGGGGTCACAGTCGACTCAAAGGCAATGGGGTTTAATTGTTTACTTTTTCATTGTGAATTGAGCGAAGGTTTCCAGAGCGGATCATCAGTTTTACACTCAACACATCAGACACTTGGTTTCATCTCAATGATGCAAATCCCTCCATGCAACAAGTTATCCCACTTCCTCCCTGTGGCTATTTCTAGCCCATCTTCTCAACTTTCTTCCTATCCCTTCTCATTTTCCTAAGTTCAAAGTTGAGAAAACTTTGTCCTTAGGAAAATGTTACCCTTTAGATTTTGAATAATTGACCATTCCATGGTGAGCAGACCTTAGAACGTTGTTGTCCTCCCGTTAAACCTCTCTACTACTTGGCTGAAAATTCCTTTCCAGACCTGAAGGGTGGTCGAGGACTATCATCTCAGATTCCTCTAGTCTCTTTCTGACCAATAAGCCTAGTCGTTTTGTTGTTGTTGTTGTTGTTGTTGGTTTTGTTCCATATTTTCTCCCCCTCTACTCTTCCGGGACCTTCTAGTGTGATCCCTTTCAGGGTCTTTGGTAATGATAGCTGGGTACCATCTAGTTCTTCTGGTCTGAGTTGTGGGGACTGATGATCACAGGCTCCTTTTGACTGATTCCAAGCCTCTGCGATTCCCATCACCCTTTTTTTCTCCACACATGGAGACACACCAATAGCTGCACCTTAGAAGCCTGCTCATGAGCTTTCAAGATCCAGTGGGGTCTTCTAATCTTTATGGAAGCTGATTTCCAGGTCCTTTCTCTCATGGAGCCGCTGGTAGGTTTGAACCTCTAACCTTTTGTTTAGCGCTGAACATTTTAACTACTGCACTGCCAGAGCTGTTTGTGACTCCAGAGCTGGGCTAAGCAAGTTCTCAGTAGGGAGGGAGGAGATGGGCATTAACTTCTAAGGAGCTTTCTGTTTGGAAATGGAGAGTGGTTGCTGATAGCCCTGATGGCACAGTGGTTAAGGCGCTTGACGGTTAACTGAAAGATTGTTGTTGTTGTTGTTAAGTGCCATCGAGTCGGGTCCGACCCATAGCGACCCTGTGCAGGGTTTCCGAGGGTGTAAATCTTTACGGGAGTAGAAAGCCTCATCTTTCTCCCGCGGAGCGGCTGGTAGTTTCGAACCGCTGACCTTAAGGTTCGCAGCCCGATTGGTAACTTCTCCAGTCCTTCTGTTGGAGAAACATGTGGTAGTCCGGTTCCCTCAAGATCACAGCCTTGGAAACCTTGTGGGGCAGTTCCACTCTGTTCTACAGGATGGCCGTAACTTGCAGGTTGCCAGCCTTTTCTTCCCTGGAACCAATGGGTGGGTCTGAACCTCCGACCTTCCAGTTAGCAAGTCAGGTGAGTAGAATTGTGCCCTATAGTGTTTTTATGGCTGTGATCTTTTCTTTTCTAAAATTAAAATAAAATAAAATAAAAGCTTTTATTGTGATTTGGGTATAAAAGTCTACAGATTGGTTTTCCTATAACAATTCATCCACATTTTGTTTCAAGACATGGATTGCAATCCCCAACAGGGTAACAACACTCTTCTTCCCATGCCCTCCCTGGGTTCCCCATGTCCACTCCTTCTTTGGGTCCCTTCCTGTCTTCTGAGCTTCCTCCCTAGGAACCCACTGCTCTTTAGACCACCTTCTGTTGTTTATTCTAATGAGTGCATACCCTTCCTTGTGTTATGGTTCACTTTTTGAGTGTAGCTGTCCTGGTGTGGCGCTGTGGGTTAATGCACTGGACTGCAAAGCTGTTTGAACTGCAAGGTCGGAGGTTCAAACTCACCAGTTGCTCCTTGGAAACCCTATACAGGGTTGCTATGGGTCAGGACCAACTTGATGGCCCTTAACAACAACAAACATAGCTTAGCTGGTGTGGCGCTGTGGGTTAATGCACTGGACTACACGGTTGGTTTGAACCGCAAGGTGACAGGGTCACTATGAGTCGGAACCGATTCAACAATGGGACTTAACAACAAAACACAGTTTGGCTGAGGACTCCTGGTACACCAGGGTAGGATTAGCACTGTACTTAGAACCACAAGTTGGCAGTTCAAATCCCCCAGCTGCTCCTCAGAAATTCTATACAGGGTTGCTATATGTAGGAACCTACTTGACAACACTTAACAACAACAATAACAACATAGTGTGGCTGAAAGTTAAGGCACAAGGATGAGTTCAGGGCCAGGCTTCTAGGATGCCTGATGGCCCAGGTTGGGGGGGCGAGGCATTCCACCAGTCTTTATTAGACCGATAAACCTGGTCTGTACAGTGATTTTGAGTTTTAGTTCACATTTCTCTCCCGCTCTACCCAGGACCTCCTATTCTGATCCCGTTCAGAGCAGTCAGCCATGGTAGCTGGGCACCATCTAGTTCTTCTGGTCTCAGATGGTAGAGGCTGGGGTTTGTGTGGTCCGTCTGTCCTTTGGGCTCATTGTTTCCTTGTGTCTTTGAGGCTGTGGGCCTTTAGATACAGAGGAGGAGGCTTTCTACTGTGGAGCCTCTGGGTGGGCCAGCCAGGGAATAGGGAAAAGGTACTACCGATTGATTCTGACCTATAGTGACCCTATAGTGGTGGTGGTGGTCGTCGTGTGCCACGGAGTCGGTTGACAACTCACAGCAACCTTGTACCGGGTTCCTGAGGCTGTAAATCTTTATGGGAGCAGATAGAGTGGCTGCTAGGTTTGAACTGCTGATGGTTAGCAGGCCAACACCTAATCCTGGGCTCCTAAAGCTGGGCTACAACTTCCTAAAACCTGAAGTGCATAACCTTTCTCTTTTGACCTACAGAATCTCTCTGATCCCTCCTGCTGGCCTGCAAAGTCTAAACTATTTATTACCTGGCCCTGTCCAGAAAAAAGGTGGCCAACCCCTCCTCTGATAGAAACTGCCACCTCTAGAGGGAAGGAGAGGGCTTTTGATTTTTAAATATTAACAGAACAGATTAAATAGGCATGGGCTTTATTAGAAGGAAATCTAATTTAAAAAGCAGTATCAGCTGGGATGCTAGTAATGGGATGGATCAGTTCAGGGATAGGTGGACTTTGCGAGGACCGCTGCATTTGAACTCAGGCCCTGGCTGATGCTACATCATGCCCGCATCACTGAGATGGGGCCTTCACGTTTACCTTCACCATGGAATGAGGGTCCCCCTGGGAAACAGCCAGCTTCCAGGACATCACCTTCAGAAACCAGTCAGCAGAACTCTCACCAGACTCTAAAAGACAAAGACATGGCAGGTCCTGAAGGCAGAAGGTTGGGGAGAGTCAGAGATTAGAATCACCCTCTTGCACCACCCCGAGGCTGCCTGCATACCCCACTGTTATCTCCCTCCTGGAGCTGGGCCTTTGACACCCCCTCTGACCTCCATCACATCATCCCAGTATCCAAAAAGATCATGGACAAAATGGTATACAAAGAGAATGGAATTTTCCCATGAGTCTTTGTTAGTCCTGGTAAGTGCCAGGTTAAACGTTGGGTTCTAACCCTTAAGGGGATGAGTGGGTGGAACCCATCAGAGGTTCCTCAGAAGAAAGATGAGACCTTCGGATTCCTAGGTCTTACAGTCATTCATCAAATCCTCTCTATTACCCTTGGTTGGCTACATTAGGTGGTGTTGTTAACATGCCATGGAGCTGGGTCCAACACATAGCGGCTGATGAGTTTGAACCCATGACTCTGCGGTTCAAACCGACCTTGCAGTCCAGTGCTCATCCTACTGCGTCCACACCAGGACTCCTCATTAATGGTGGGGGCCCAGAAAGACTTTATCTTATTGG